GCTAGGTAGCACAAGATAACAAGAATGTAATGCAACAAATTGATCTAATAGTCATGTATGTAACATTCCATCTAATATGACCAGAACTCACTGAAAGAAATGTTTTAGGGGAAAACTTATATATGCTTATATTAAAAGCCAAAAAGGATCTCAAACCAACAATATACCAATATAATTTAAGAAACTGAAACAAAATTAAACTTGCAAAGCTGGGAGAAGACAGGAAATAAAGATTAGAGCATAGATCAACAAAATATAGAATGAAAAACAGTGGAGGTTTAATGCAACAAAAAATTAATTCTTTGAATACATCAATAAAATTGAGGTGCATAGTGTAGTCAAAACTCTTAGACACAGAAAGTAGAATGATGATTGCTATTGTTATAGGTAACTGAGTTACAAACAAACATTACAGGCAGTCAGACAGGGCTAGGACCTCAAAGGACCAATGCTTAAAGACTCTACCTTACAACTGCAGGGGAGACAGACACCACTGCAGTGGGCCAGACCTCAAGACAAAAGATAAAATAAATGCACCTACATACTTCTTAAGGATAAACGTCAGAGACCCATATTCTAGATACGTCTCTAACATCTTAATGAAGCCAGAAGGAGTCACTAACTCAATGTCCTATAGGAACAGACTCCTACAGGAAGAACCTGTATGCATGCTCGCTTGCTTGCTAAGTGCCTTGTTTCCCCCTTTGTCCTTGATTTAATCACTTTTACTGAAGCAATTGCACTCATAATCTTATTGGTTCACCAAACTTATGTCCCACATCATGCTCACCTTGATTTTTCCCCACTTTGGACCCATTTTACTTTTTGGTTTAGCTCTATAAAAGCCCCTAGAAAAGTCAGTCTTTGGAAATCCACTTGGGACCCCTTCTACCTGCCTGCCTGCCTGCCTGTCTGTCTCTCAAATAGCTTTCTTTTACTTAATAAATATATTCTGATCTTAACCTTCATTTTTACTAAACTCTATTCTTCGATTTTAGAGAACACAAATTCATATCTGCATCTAGCAGGACTGGGTGTTTCTTTCACCTATGTCACAATGAACGGAGGAAGGGAGAAAGAAATGCTTGAAAACAGAGTTTCAGCTTTACAGAACGAAAGTTGTAGAAATGGATGGTAGTGATATATGCACAATAATTTTGAATGCATTTAACACCATGTACCTGTGCACTTAAAATTAAGATAATGAATTTTATACTAAATGTGTTTTATCAAAATTAAAAAGTTCACAAAAAAGGATTTGTTAAAAAGATTTACAATATAATATTTTTTAGTAAAAAAATTAAATTATTCAAAATTTCAAATTGTTTCCAAAACTTAAAAGCATAAAGTAACCATTCTTTAACCTACCTACCCTAAATGATTTGAATAGTTTCAATTATACCTCTAAAATATGTACAACAAATTGTATTGGTAGGTAGGTATGTTACTGACAAAAAAGAATAAGAATCCATTCCTTTGAACTGGTAATATAGTTCAGTGGTTGAGTGCTAGCCTAGAAAGTGTGAAATTGAGTTCCATTCCCTGCAGTAAAAAATTAAGCTAACAAGAAAGCAAACTACATCTTTAAAGTTACCCTTATTGAAACAGATTGCTAGATTCAGGGCTGTGGATTTAGCTCAGCAGCATAAGCACCTGCCTTGTAAGCAGGTGGTTGTGAGTTCAATCCCTGGTACCGATAAAAAAAAGGAAAAGGATTGCTAGATTCTTAGATTATCTAGAAATCTTGGAACACACTATGTTTAGTTAAAGTTCAAACTTGTCTTGACAAGACTGTTTGATAGTCTTTAGTAGCATTCCTGAAATTAATTTCCAAAAACTATAAAATTATTGATGCTATTTGGTTGTTTATTGCTTTTTTATATGTAGTGATTTAGCAATGGGTCCTGTTGAAACACAACAGAATATGGCACAGAACTCTCTTTTTAAATTAGAAAGAAAATAATCTTTTTAAATTCAAATAATCAACTTTTCCCAATATAATATTCTATAAAATATTAATTGAAGATAGTATCAGCATTCTATGATTAAATTCATTTATATAAGAGATTTATAATCAAGTTGAAATAATTTTAGTATAATTGATATTCTATTTACATAATACTGCAAAGCTAGTTGCTTTGCGTAATTATTAATTAATGATCAGTGTATGTGTCTTTTTTCTTTCTCTCTCTCTCTCTCTCTTTCTTTTCTTTGGTACCGCGGATCAAACTCACAATTCTCATATTTGCCAAGCAGGCACTTGAGTGTAATCATTTTAAAAGCAAACACCAGTTAAAATTCACTTTTGGATAAATTCATAACATGCTCAAAAATCTAAGTCAAGGTTCAAATTAAACAATGCCAACTAAAAAGTAGATACAAAGAGAATTGAGTGAGAGAATCAGGAAGACAATTATTGTCTCAGTTTAAAAATGAGTGTTATTTTTTTCCCAGACCAAAGCTGTATAGCGTTGATAAACCTTTTATCTAATCTCACCATATTTTCTTGATTCCTACCTTTAGTTTGTGTTACCTATTCATGTAAAATAAATGGCAAGTATTCATTCTATTGCCCAAAGTTCAAATTTCCTCCAGAAAAGTTTCCCACATCTTTTTATTTTGGGGACCTTGGTTTGTTTTCTTACTCCTTTTTAGGCTACTGGCTTCCCACCATTTAAGACTTTATCTCTATGCTTCATATTAATAATAGTTTAATGATAATCTGTTTGCCCCAGCCTCAAAGGCATAGCAAAATGGAATAAAAGGAATGAAATTCTTATCTTATGTTTTGTTTTACTCTTTTTTTCCCCTTCTGGTTCTGTAAAAATATTCCTCAAAAGGTGTAGAAAGGGGCATCTTTAGGATTTTCCTGTACAAGTACAGGAGATCTCTTACAGAAAACCAAATCATATCAAAACTCTGATAGATGACTTGAGACTTTTGTTTATTTCTTTCCTTTCATTTTGAAAGGCTGAGTGACTACCGTAGGCATTTTTATTTCTTTTTAACTTCAACTTTGTTTATTTTAAAAACCAAAGAGCAACAACAAAAAGAATAAAAATGATACAGAATTTCAAAATAAAATAATAGGAAATTAATACTAGTTAATATGTTGCACATTATGTTCAAAGTAGATGTTCAGATTACAAGGTTTAGGCATGAAAAAATGGTCAAACAATTAAACAATGAAAGCACAAACTGTTCTTTTTGATAAACTAACAGAGATTAGTTCTATAGTTATCTATCTTTTTAGAAGACTTGAAAGAATTATGCCAGAGCAGTATATGTGCACCCATGTTTACAGCAGCACAATTTGTAATAGCCAGATCTTCAAAACGACTTAAATGCCCATCAACTGTGGAACTGATAAAAAAGATGTATTTTTATGCAGTGGAGTATTACTCAGCTATACAGAAGAATAAGCTTGAGGTTTTTATAGGTAAAGGAATGTAATGTGAGATGATATTCATAAGTGAAATGAATCGGACTCATATGTGTAAATATTGTATTGTCTCCCTAGTGTAAAAAAACACCTGAAAGAGTAAATAAGATCCAAAATGTACAAGGGATATTGTGAAAATGAAAGGGAAACAACTGGGTTAGAGAAAAGGAGACAAGAAAGAAGGGAAAATGCCCATGGTGGGCATTTTTCTGTGTGACAGAGAAACCTTCCTTCCAAGTGTTGGTTCTCACAATAATTACAGTATAGAATTATTCTGGCTTGTACTTCATTTTTCTTTCACTTCAGTCTCATTACTGTTTCCTTGTTCGTTTAAAAAAAATAAATTTCACATCTGCCAAGTTATTCTCATTAAAATTTCAGCTAAAAGACTTTTAAAAAAGTTTTGCCTATGTAGAGGCCTAACTAAAATTCCTTCCATTCTTTCATATTAATTAAAAACTTTTTCCCTAGGCAGTTTCACTATTAAAAAAAGATAATGCAATACAAAGAGAAGAAAAGAAAGGGGAGAGAAATGGTAACTTGTTTTGGATCTTTACTGGAAGCTCATATTGCGTGGATACTCCAATATTAAGTAACTAGTTTGGATTTGTGTTCATGCTCTTTTGTCTTTACTCAGACTCCTTTCTTCCAAAATTGACAGTAAAGAAAGGACCATCGCACCGTTATTAAAACTAACCAGAATTGCCTCCATCTGGCTAAGGCTTTCAGGAATCCAGCCCACGACTTTTTGCTATGGTTTGATGACTCAACCCTTCAAGATGCAGCACAAGGAAGAATTTCCTCATTTTGCAGAACTGCCAAAACTCATTCATTAGAGCAAAGGCTCATTTGGGGCTCATGTTTAGATAGTTGCTTATCTGTTTAGATATTTTAAAAATCTCCCTCAGTAGATGGAGTTTGTTACGAATTTCTAAAGACAGTAAACATTCTCTCCTGCACGGCCACTGAGACTGAACCTAGTGATGGTTCCCTTTCTCTCCTTCCACTTTTTTTGTTCCTTTTGTTCCTCTTCCTCCTCTGTAACTAAATCCAGTGTCACTTTCTCTTTTCCTTTCCTTCTTAGTCCCCTTCCTACCTTTCAGTTACAACTCTTAGCCTCATTTTGTAACTGCATTTCCCCCATTTTAACAAAAATCTTATTTGCCCTATATGAAAAGAGAAATTATTTGCTTCACGTTTCACTTTGTTTCCTTTAAAACTGTTCATTTACACTTATCTTCACTATCTTATTTAAAAATAACGTTTGAGAAAGGCTCAGAATTTGAGTAATTTGCCTGAGGCTACCTTAGTCATCTGGCCCCTGCAGCATTTAAAAAATAAAACTTTTTGAAGTTTTTCTAGAGATAAAGAATATTTGCAAAATGTATACAAATGTTAAATGAAACTCATCTTTGGATGGGGACAGGCTGCACTTCTGCCCACTTTAAAAAGACATTTCCTCCCCTGGTTTTCAGCCTCTGGCCACTTACACAGCCCTTCTGCCCACTTGGCTCGGCAAACGTGTCTTTACAGTGACTCAGCCCAGCTCGTCCCGCTCTCCCCGCCAGGCCCCGACGCCGGGGCGGAGGCCCGGGCTGCGCTGGGGGCGAGGGCTCGCCCGCCCCTCCGCTTTACGGCTGCTGAAAACCGGCGCGGCCCGCTCGGCCGCCGTACCGCAGACGCGCCGCGCCGCTCAGGTAATGCGAGCACTTTGCAAAGTTTTGTCCCGGCCCGCGGGGCACTGCCTGGCGGCGCGGCTTCTCCCAGCCCTCGGGCTCTCCTCCCCTTTTTCCCCGTCGCCCGGGCTGGCGCCGCGGCGGTGCCGGCCGCACCCCTGCGCGGGTCCCGGAGCCCCTCCGGCGGGACCCAGGTGGCCGGCGACGGCGGAGCGCGAGCGACCCCGCGGGGTGGCGCCCCGGGCCCGCGGCGGCGCCCGCCCACCCCCGGAGCGCGTCGGCCTCGGCGCCCAGCCCGGGAGGGACCCGAGTGCCCGCCCTGACACACTCCCACACGCTCGCGCTCCACCCGCGCTGGGCCGCCGCCGCCCGGCCCGGCGGCACCGCAGGTAAACAGTGCGCTGCGCACCCGGGGTGAGGGCGGCCGGCCCGAGTGACGCCTCGCCCCGCCGGGCCAGCGCGGTGGCTGTGGCTGGAAGTTCTGCAGCGGCGCGGAGCAGCCTCGGTTAGAACCTGCGCTGGCTCTTACCCCGGGCGCAGGCTGGCTGCCGTGCGTGCCCCGTGGAGTTGCATTGTACCCAAATGACTTCTTTTTACCACAGTGTTTACTTTTATTTTCCTCCTTTTCGTGCTATGGGATATTTCCTGTCTTACTTTCTTGTTCTTTTGGCCCTCCCTGTTACGATAGCAAACACGCATGAAGTGGTTTTCACGGTTCTCTTCAAATACCCTTACCCTTACCCATCTATCTTCCCTTACTTAGGGCTGGCAGCTTTAGGAATGTAGTCAACTGGAGAAAAGTATTGGATTAAAGATAGCCCTGCAAAACAGAGAAGAAAGATTGTTTAAAAATGCTTTAGAAACATAGGTAATGCTGTTTCTGTTTCAGTTAAGTGAAAGATTCCTGTAGTATTTCATTCAATACAACTCAGCAACCATTCTTTGTAAGTCATAAGCTAGATACTATGTTGACTAGTGACAAAATTTAAGAGAATAATTGCATTCTTTTCTTTGCATTTCCATATTCAGAAAGGGCCACATTGACCACTGGGACACAGCAGAATGCAGGGGAAAGAATTTAAGAAAGGATTGAGTTTGAAAGTGGTAATTCAGTAGGGTTTTCCACATTTCTTCTTGCACCACATCCTAAGGATTTTAATAGAAAAGGGAGTTCTTTCAGCAGTACTTTAATCTTCAGCTGTTTGAAGATTTTCCTCTTTGGAATCAGCAGTAATTACTGACCTCAAAATTTCTGTGAAATAGAATTAGTAACTTGCTTGTCTTCATAAAGCTCTGATACCAAATATAGAATACTATAGACTTTTGTTATAGAACCAAGAGTGAAACAGTGACATTTGTTATATAACATATTACCAAATTCACATAGAGACTCTAGTAGTCTGACTCAATAGCTAGCCAGTGCTTACTGTGTGTCAGGCTTTGCTCTTTGCACTGGGATAAAGCGTAGAACAAACCTCTGCCTTCCTGGAATATGCATTATAACAAAGGGAGATAGAATTTAGAATAAACAGGAAAAAATATGAAGTATAATGATATTGTCACAAACACTGGCAAAACAAAGCAGGGAAAAAGTTTGTATTTAACAATTTAAAATATGATTGTAAGGGAAGTCCTCAAAAGAAAGCAGTGTCTCAGTAGACTTGCGCAGGTGTGAGAGTGAGCCAGATGATAAATGGGGCAAGCGTTTTCCAGACAGCATTAACAAATGCAGAAAGGCCCTGTATATTGGTGCTTTACGGGGTTACCAAAGAAACTTGTGTGACTGGAGTGCAGTGGTAGAGGGAGCAGTAGGATATGTGAACTTAAACATCATAGGAGCCAAATAGTACAATAGAGTTTGTAAGTTATTGTAGTGATAGGCAGGCATTGAAATGTTTTGACTGTCTGGAATGATACAATCCATTGTGTTTAACACCATTACCCTGGCTGCTATGTTGAGAGCTGATTGATGGAAAACAAAGGCGGCTGAAGATAGAGTTTCTATTAACTAAGTTGGGAAAGAAGGCAGATATGACAGTGGAATTAAGAATTTGAATATATTGTTAGTTGCATTTTAAATACCCAAGTGGAGAGTCAAGCAGGCAGTTAGTTGGAAAATCAGATTGACAGTATACATTTAGGACTCATGTAACTGCTTTTAAAAGTGAAGAGAGTGAATTAACCATCAAAAGTGTTTGGGTTTAGAAAATTGAAGAGGATTAAGATTTAGGCACATGAGCATTCTGAGCAGGAACCAACAGAGGGATCTGAAAAAAAAAATGTTTGTGAAATAAGAGCAAAAACAGAGAAACTTTGGAAGTCAAATAAGGAAGTAATTTTATAAGTAAAGAGCTGGTTAATCTGTTTTAAAGATGAAGATTGAGAATGGATTTAGGAAAGGACATTATGACCTTGCTGATAGCATTTTTAGTGGAATGATAGAAGTGGAATCTTGTTGGAATGTGTTTGACTAGGTAGAAGGGATAAGAGTATCTTAGCTTGATGGTTTTTATTTGAAAAAAGGAGAAAAATGTAGCATTATTTATAGAACTATATTGTAACGGTTCAGCCTGAAACACTGTCTCACAAAGTTGAAGACTGAATTTCAGAACAAAGGAGACAGGCGGAAGGAACGAGAATAAATAGCTCTCAGTAGTTGGGAGGGAAACTAAAGGTCAGTTGGCAAGGGGACTTTTTGTGGAAGAGTTTTGATACCAAAAAATAAGTCAACCTGTAGGAGCAGAATAAGCTTACTTAACCTAGAAATGGGCCTATCAGTCAAGGCACAGAACAAGTGTGTGTCTGCAGGTGCCTCTTGGCCAGTATCCTAAACAAGTGGGTTATTTAAAGAACAAATTGAGAAGGAAAAAAATGGTTTCCAGATAGGTCGGAATGTTATTGGGTTTTGGGGTACTATAGTCTCCTGCTGGAGGTGATTTCTAGGTTCTTTCTATCCTAAGCAAAGAATTGGTCAAGACAAACACAAATGGTAGCAAAAGTTTTATTAAAGTTAGGAAAATACACAGGCTCTGCTGAGTGAGTTTGGGTGAAAACAGGAAAAGAAGCACACGCTGTATTGTGAGAGTGGAGTACAGTGCAAGAGAGAGCACAGTAGAGAAAACTCAAGATGGAGTGTCCTTTTTGTATCACCTACTCCTCAGGCTGACATGTCTGGGCCATATTGTTGAAAACCTGATGAAGAAGTTCTTGTGAGAAGTCCACATGCAGGGCTCTGCACATGTGTCGTGGGGTTTTGTAATTAACAGGTCATACCTACTTCCCCGGCCAGTTTTGCTGTGCTCTAATCTGTCTCATGAGCAGAAATTGTCATAGTGGCTATTTGTTATATTGCTTTTTACTTTATTGTTGAATCCTTTTACTTAATGGTTCACGTAGTTCTTACTAACTATTGATCTCAACCTCCTGCTTACCAAGACCTTACTCTGCCTTTGCCCAGTGCTTCTCTAGATGCATACTAGCTTTCACTTAATGTTCTTGTCTGTAATAATATAGCATAATGGGGGTTTTAAAGATGTGCAAAACACTGGAATATTGCAGTGGTAGCGAACCTTTCACAGCTTTCAATGATGCGAACAGCCTACTGCAGCGTGCGTGCCATTTATTGACCATCACTGGCATGTTACAGGCTAATGAGAAACAAATAGGTGTGGAAAACTTGATACTGCAAGAGAGAAGAGAACAGTGTTCCTAAATAAATTAGAGAGGATTATATATCTACAACAGGAGAAATTATTTATTGCTAAGATTAATACGATAAAAAGAAAAGGGTGTGGACACACATGCATGTGAGGAATGAAGGTTATCTGTTTGAATAATTTTTCTCATTTATGACAGACACATAATTATGCTACATGAGAAATTTCTTGGACTTGTTCTCTTTTTTCCAAGTTGGTTAGAAGTATTTGATGAAGAATGCTTTGAGATTCTGAGAACTGCTAAAAACAAAGAACTTTATATTTTGCGAGGAATGAAGATAGAATTTTTACCTTGAATTCTGCTTAGGAAAGGATTTGGAAACAAAGTTGAATTTACAAGATAATAGGACTAGGAGAGGAGACAGGAATAAGGCAAGCTGGATGGTATGGTGAAATCTTGGAAAATCTCTGGTGAGAAGGATAAAAATGTTGAACTCTACCTCCTATGCAGTAAGTACTGTACTGCAAAATTCTAAGAATATTACTGTTGTTATTGAAGAGACTCTAGGTTTTAAACTACCAAGTGTGATAAAATGGAGAACAATATTGCTGCTGGGGTGAGTCTAATTATGGAGGTGTATTAAATCAGGGAAGAGGCGTTAGCTGGGATTCTATTTTAGATTAGATTTTAAAATTTTATAAAAATACTGAGTATTTTGAAGCTGATGGGTTTTTAAAAAAACTAACTTACGGAGATTGTCATACACTCAAAATACAAAAAACAGTAGAATGCACCCCATTGTACTCACTGCCCTTCACAGGCGATCAGCTGTCTGTTCATCTTGTGTGTTGTGAGAGGGTAGATAGGGGGAAAATTGTTTCTGTACTTAAATTAGGATAGAAAGACTTAATGGAACCTCTCTTATCTGGGGAAGTGGACGTACTGGTAAAGCTGAACTGTAGATTTCTTGGTTTTAGTTCTTTCTGTGGCTTGCTGGGTAATTTTTGTTCAGTCTATCTTTTATTCATTTTTGTTCTTTGAAGAATGTGGTGGTTATGTTAAATGCTGTGGCCCACAGGCCAAAACCTGTTTTATAAGTAAAGTTTTATTAGAAAAACTCATATCCAGTAGCTTATTTTTTGTGTTTGCATTTGCCACAGAATAGAGTTGAGTAGTAATGGATTGTGTGGTCTTGGAAGCCTAGAGTATTTACTCTGTTGTCCTATTACAATGTTTTGCCACTCCTTTCTCTACATGATGTGTGAGAGTTCATTAACTTCAGTATGCAAGCCAGCCTATTAGCTACTGAAAACTTAAATTACTGTAGCTAATTATTTTTAGCATTTACCAAGAGTAAGGATACT